CATTTTAGGTTTACTAGAGGTGGAGAGACTTAATGTTAAATTTTGACCTTACAGTCCCTTCTGGGGTCCCCCTTGACCCAGGGCCTGGGACAACTGACCCTGTGCTCCCCCAGTGTTGGCAGCCCTGATTGTAGATAACCTCCTCCAGAGAAAAACCTGCTGATGTTTCAAAGCTTTAGTGGGGTCAGGTAGCCTCTGATAGTCAGTACAATGCATTTTGTAATTTCAGAATTCTTTGTTACGATGTGAATCATCACTTGTCTTACAGAGGCCCTTGTTGATGGCTGCTGTAAGTTTTGTAACTATTTTCTCTGTCTTAGGAAGACTGATGTCCTCAACTTCGGGCCATATTTTTTTAAACAGTTCTTCAGCGATGTAGTCCTCTTTTAGTTTAATGTCCCATTTTGTTGCTCTCACAGTGTGTTTGATGACCTGCTCCACTGATATCTTGACAGCTAACTTTTTTTGGTCCCCCTGAACTGTGGCAACTGCCACAGGTTTAGCACTTGTCCGTTCACATGCTAAAGCAGCGTTGACCTCATGGAGTATTGCTGTGCCCAACGGGTCAGTGCCCATTATACCATTTATCACTCTCTTACTGTGGCTGCTGGCCTGACACTGCACCCACCAGCTCATCAGTGCCACAAAATAGTGCAATTTGTCTTTTAAGACAGCAGACATGTCTGCATCTGAAATTGTTAAAGGGTCCGTCATAATTGCCTCACCTCTGATGTACTGATGGAGCAAAGAATACAGATCATCTTTGAATAGCAGAACCTGACCTGATGAAATGTTGGTGAATCTCTGGATGACATTAACCTTTTTATCTTTTTGATTTTCATCCTTCTCTTTCTTCTCATCGTTCTCTGTCAAAAACAGAGTCAATCTGATTCATGAATGACTCGACTCCATCCCTCCTGTGAACTTTGTGGTTAATGGGGAATTTCCTCTTCACTTGCATTAGTATGTGATAAATTAACACTCTAACTGTATTGCAAACAAGTTCTGTTGCAGTCATTTGGTACAGTTCTGCTGCAGAAACAGAGTCTTTCAGACTCTTGTCGTCTTTATCAGTTAAAAGACAGATCTTACCTGCAACAACTTCAATGTCCATAGAAGTATATGTTTGTAAGTGTTGTACTTTGACAATTCCACTTGGCCTTGAATGTCTTGATGTTTATGTGGTCTGGAATACTTCAACATATCACAAACATAGCCAGTTGTCTTATTCAGTAGGATGTGGGGTAAAGGCTTTGCAAGCTTGACATTTTCTTCAGCATCTATAAAAAAAAAACAGGTATGTCCGCTGTGTTATGCAAAAAGTCTGGATGTCTCTCCTAAAGCAAAGAACCTGGGAAAAACTCTCTGAGAGAATCTGATTCAGATTGGACTTGAGCTGCTGAGGCGTAATTGTTGAATTCACCATTCTAGTCATTTTGTAGTCTGCAGACAGTAACTCTATTATCTTCAAATGCATCTCTGCTAAAAGAACTTTTGTGGCTTCATCTGGGTCATCTCTCCTGAGCAGTGTCACCTGTTCGGCTGTGAAACATGCAAACCGGGATTTAATCAGTGGGGGGACTGTGTCTATTTTAAGATGCCAGGTGGTAGCTGATAGAAGTACTCTTCCATTTGGCCGGCATGCTGGTTCAGTTGTCCTTTTCAGTCAGATAGGAGGTAATGGCCCTTTCGGGGAGTTAGGAGGCTTTTTTCCACTCATGGCAAGCAATGCTACAAGTAACACTTTGTTACTTGTAGCATTGCTACAATTAACAAGGCGCAGAAAACTGGAGCGAAGACGTGGCGACTTTTTTTTTCCATGTTTTTGCTGTAGTATTTCCTTGATTAGCACTCTGACTAACCGTATTGCAACGATACTTCGTGACTGAACTTCTGTTGAAGGTGTGTATACAGAATACAGAGGTGAACTTTTCATTGATTGATTGATTTATTCTTTCAAGCATGTAAAGACAGTCGATATGTCAACACACATAATTTCACACATATCCACAAATGCTAATCCATTATCTTATACCTAGTACATGCTTGAACGAAGTAGGAAGAAGTTAGACTTATCTAGTCCTACCCCATGACATCATCTTACCATCATTGGTTTGCAAGCAGTATCTCTACATAGATAATTTTGTTCTACACCACACAAGTAATATACTAAAAAATATTACAGACTGTTAACATTCTTACATAATTACATTCTTAAATAATTATCTTCTACACCACACAAGTAATATACTAAAGAATTATTACAAAGTGTTAACATTCATACACCACACCCACAATGTTCCATCTAATTAATCATTAAGCCTGTTCTTGCATATATCTTGATTGACACATACCTTTATATTTATGTTTAAACTCATCAATTCTATTACTATTTTTTATGTCCACACTTAAATTATTCCATAGTTTTACCCCACTTATAGAAATACAGAATCTTTTTTTGGTTGTACGTATAGCATGAATTTTTAAATTTAACTGACCCCTTAAATTGTATCCCCCTTCCCTTTCATTAAATAGTTTTTGAATTCCACCAGGTAATAAATTGCTCCTGGCTTTATACATAAACAC